GATTATTTGTTGAAAGCCCTTAATTAAGAATTTTTTTCTGTACTTTTACAGAAAGGAGTCACAAAGTACTAAAAGGAAACATATATAACTTTATACATAATCTTTGTCTAGGGACTCATCTCCTAAGTGTGACAACAAAATCAGAAATCATAAAGATTTTACTGAAGCAAACTTTAAATGTTACTAAATGTTAATATATCAATAAAGACCATAAATAAAAGTAAAAGCCAATCAACACACTTGAGAAAAATATTGGTAGTATAGAAATGACAAAGGATCAATATTATAAAAAGCCTTTGCAAATCAATAAGAAAACATGAGTGTTCAGTATAAAAATGAGTAAAGTAGTGCATAGGCAAGTCACCAAGTGACACAGATAACTGATAAATGTGTGAAAAAAAGTCCAGCCACGGTAATCAAAGAAATGCAAGTGAAACAGCCAGGTCATTTTTCATGTACAAATTGGCAGGAGTAGAGTGAGGCCAAGGTGTGAAGCTGAGGAGTTTGACTGCAGTTAATACACGATGGGGAGCCACTGAAGGAGCATGAGCAGGAGTCGTTTGTAGGCAGGGATCTGGTGCCTAATATAGGATAGAGCAGAGCTGTGAGACTGAAGGCTGGGCCCGCAGTCCACGTGTGAGGAGGCAGTGCCCAGAGAAGCACGAAGCATGAAAACAATTGGGTTGAAAACTCAGCAGGTCTTGCCCTAGTTGGTTTGGCTCGGTGGTTAGAGTGTCCACCTGCGGACTGAAGGGTCCCAGGTTCGATTCTAGCCAAGGGCATATGTACCTTGGTTGCAGACTTGATCCCCAGCCCTGGCTGGGGCTCAGGTGGGAGGCAACCAATTGATGTGTCTCTCTAACATCAGTGTTTCTCTCTCTCTCTGAAAAGCAGTGGGAAAAATAGGGTGAGGATTTAAAAAAAAAAAAAAAAAAAAGAAAAAAATCAGCAGGTCTTGATGGTTAGCCGAGAGAGCAAAATCAAGATAGACAGTGGGTATGGTGTGACTGGAAGGACAGTGGCACCGTTGAAAGAAATAGGGATGCTGGAGAGTGGGCAAGAGGAAGTCCAGGGTTTGTTTTTTTGACACTGTGAGACATTGTGTTAGTCCAGAGTCTCATTATTAGTGACTAGCAACCAACTCAAATAATTTAAGCTACAAAAAGAATTTGCGGCCTCTCACAATTGACAAGTCTTGTGTTAAAGTTTCAGGCACATCTGGATCTGGATGCTCAAGGGAGAACAGAAATGGCCACAAGCAGGTCCAGACTCATGTTCTACCAGCTGAGCACAGGTCCTTGAGTGGCTGAATTGGCCCATTACTGAATGATCACTGTGATGAACAGGCTAAGGTCATGTGTGCTCCCCTGGAGCCAGGAAGTGGGGTCAGCCCTACCCAAACGACCATTCAGAGTTGGGGAGAATGGTTCTCTAAGGTAAAATTGGGGGTCTATCCACAAAGGGGGACTGGAGCTGAGCAGCAAAAACAATACATGTCTACTACATTCTACCTCTTGGCTGTCCAAGATCTACTCAGACCACCCCCCATAAGATTTTTTAAACTTTTGTTTATCATAATGCAACTATCCCTCACAAAATTTAAAACACACTGTCCTATCTCTGGAAGGAGACATTCCAAGTTCTCACTCAGTTACCACATCCAGCCCCACTTCAAGATCTTGGTGGGCTGTCTGGCAAGGTCCTGAGCTAGCCCCTCATGGTCTTTCAATGCATGTCCAGACTACAGTGATGGAGGAAAAATCGAATAGCTGAAAGAACAAACACTCTCCCAGCTGAAGAGGGGAGATGAGGGAAAACACTCAGGGATCACAAGTCCATAGCATGTTCCACATGCTCTGCCAGCTGGCGAGGACAAGGCTCCCTGGCCACCTATTGGTTGCTCTGGTTCTGCTGTTCAGACAGCCACCCTGTCCTTTGTGCTCTATGGCCACGGAGGAGCACTGAGGAGTCCCTTCCCATTGGTATGGGTTTGGTGGGTGGGGAACTATAGGAGCTAAGTATTCCCTAGCCTTTGTTGTCCAGGTTTGCGGGTTGTTTTTTTCTGGCAATACAATTCCCTTAATCATTAGGAAGCTTTCAGTCAATTTGCATTCAGTCATCCCCAGAGCTATTAACCAAACTAGAGACCTCACTGGAAGTTATAATTCTTGAATCGAGTCCCTGGTGATGGTGTTGGGGAAGGAGGAGGGGTTGTCACTTAGCAACAGGCCTTGGTGCTCTGCACATCCCAGGAGCCCATGGTTCTGTGGCCTCTAGCTAGGCCTCTACCATAGGGCAATTCAAATCCCTACTCTGGGGTGGGAGGCACAGTTCATTTGCCCCTTTCCACTCAAGCTGCATCCCAGTGGGAGGCTGCTTATAAATGAAAGCAGTGGTTGCTTCTGTTGAGCTGGGAGGGCGCAGCAGGAAGGGTACAGGAGGGTCTGGGGACTTAAGAGCCTGTCAGGCCCCAGGTTTATCTCCCTCTGTGTTTCCAGCCTCCCTGTCTTTGCTTGAGCTCACTTTAGCTAGAAGCAGAGAACTGGCTCTTAATTATCTGACTTTCAGCCATATTGGATTACTGGCCTCAGGCAGAAAGAGCTTCTCTGGGCTTAGCAGTATTTTCTTCCTCTGCTTTCAGATGGGCCCCTTTCAGCCAGAGTGTATCTCTTTCTTATTGTATCTTACTGAGGCCACACCCGAAATTGTGACTTTTTTTCTACAAGCCCCCTACAGTTCCAGCCTTGGTGGCAACATCTGAGCTCCAGAGGCAGTGGGAGAGTTTAGTCAGCTTTGCTGCTGTGTAGCAGGGCTCACCCCTTCCCAGTGGGTGGAGCGGTGCTATCTTACTCCTCTCCTTAGTCCAACTAATTCCTTCTTAGGATCTATTACTTTCAAAAATTCCATTCCTGACTCTAAGTTATGGGATAGGACTTTTTCCAGGTGCAGGTAACACAGACCCATGTCCAACTGCTTAAGAAAAAATGGGAATAGATTGGCTCAGAGAATTGGACAGACCAGGATCTCAAGCCGTGTCTGTGACGAATCTCTTTCTCCATCTCAGTTTTGCTCCTTTATGTTGACTTCTTTCCCAAGTAGTTTCTCCTAAAGATGGCCCTTAAAGATCTGGCCCTCCCCATCAGCTTAGAAACCTAAGCCCAAAGAAGATACTTTCCCCCAGTAGTTTAGAGAGGTTCTGGAAAATAACTTATTAACTCAATGAGAAAAAACTCATTGATTCAACTTGGGTGATAGGTGCCCATCCCAAGCTTCTGATCAACCGGGCCTGTATGGACCATCAACCCCCTCCCAGACCACATGGACTGAGAAAATGGGAAAGGAACAATGGTTCCCCAAGGTCAAAGCAGGGTGCAGTTCTCAGGAGGAGGACTGAGTCCTGGGCTGCAAAGGGAACAGACATCACACACCTGTACATCCATGTGAAAACCCAAAGCAAATGGAACTTGAGAGCAGGTCAGGATGGAGAGGCAGAGCTGAGACTTCATGGATTTAAGGTGTGAATTAACCCCTGGGAGTGAATCAGACTGCCTGGGGAGAAGATAGAGGCAAAGGGGGTAGGAAGAACTCCGATCAGGGGACAGATTAGGAAGGCGGCAAGAAGAGGAGGTCAGAGACCCCAAACCAGGCACCTTAATGGCAGCCTATGAAGACTGAGGGGTCAGGAGTGTCAGCCAAGGGACCACGTGGGTGAAGATTCCTGATGACAACTGAATTGTCTGACTAGCAGGTGGTCTGTGGTCTGGCTGAGCACATTTGACAGCAGAGGGTGGTTGAAACAGAAGACGATGGCAGTAAGGAATGGGGTAGAGGTCTCATGAGGCACGGAAGGGGTGACTAGAAGCCAGAGATGATGGGGGATGCACAGTGGGCATTGAGGGTGACCAGGGGTGCAAGGGCAAGGCCAGGCCACTTACTGGAGACCAACCTAGCGAAGAAATAGGAGAAAAGGACCTAGGTGCCTGGATGGGAGGGTGTGGTACAGAAGCAGGGGCAGGAACAAACAGTGACACACACGAGGTATTGTCAGGTGAGGTGACATCTTGGTCACTGCATCATGGTACCAACTGTCCAGCCTGTCTTATGGGTGTGGTTTGCATGACATGGAAATAAGCATCTTCTTTTAAGGATTTTTTTTTTTTGAGATGTAACATACATACAGTCTAGTACATATAGTGCACTAATCTTAAGTATACAGCTTGTTTACATATGTATACACCTGTGTCACATAAGGTTCCCTCCTGCCCTTTCCCAGACCATAGAGCCCCCTGGGAGGTAACCTCTATTCTGACTTTGTCATCTTCAATTTAGTCTGGGTTTTTTTTGTGTTTTTTTTTTTTATCTTTATTGATTTCAGAGAGAGGAAGGGAGAGAGAGAGAGAGACAGAAACATCAATGATGAGAGAGTCATTGATCGAGCCCACAACCCAGGCATGTGCCCTGACCAGGAATCAAACCCTGATCGCCTGGATCCCAGGTCGATGCTCAACCTCAGCCATGCCCGGCCGGGCCAATTTAGTCTGTTCTTAAACTCCACATATATGCAATTCTACAGGATGCACTCTGGCCTGGCTTCTTTCACGCAACATATCATTGAGCGGATTCATCCATGTTGTTGCATGTACTGATGGTTCTTTCTCTTATTGCTGGGTTATTACATTTTGAATATGTGAATATATGAATATACCACAGTTTATTCTACTGGTGATGGGCACTTGGGGTTTATCAAAGTTAGAACTATTATAAATAAAACTAATGCCTTTTTTTTTTTTTTTAAGAATTCTCATTCTTTTTCACCCTCATACACGGACAGGCCCTCGCACCGGTATCAGAGCAGGCCAGCTCCCTCTGGGCCGTCCCCTTGCCCCTCTTTTCTGGGCACGTGTTTTTGAGGGAAATCAACTTCCTCACTGAAGAGAGGTACAGGGCGTGCGGAAGGGGGGCGGGGATCCCCCTCCTAAGACTTACTCCCTCTCTTCTAGCCGCCTCACCCCTGCTGCGGGTGTCCTGAGCCTTCCTGATCCCGCAGGGGGGCTCGCCCGCGGCCTCCCATGTGTGCGCCTGGTTGACCTGCGGGGCGGCCGCGGTGGAGCCCGCTGGCCGCGGGGGCGGCGGGGCCATGGCCTCGCTGGACCTGCCCTACCGCTGCCCGCGCTGCGGGGAGCACAAGCGCTTCCGGAGCCTGTCGTCGCTGCGGGCGCACCTGGAGTACAGCCACACGTATGAGACACTCTACATTCTCTCCAAGACCAACAGCATCTGCGACGGTGCG